AATCTGGATACTGGCAAATTCAAATAAATCCTGAGCATACTTATAGAACTGCTTTTAATGTGCCTATAGGACAATTTGAATGGAATGTGATGCCATTCGGATTAAAAAATGCTCCTTCTGAATTTCAGAATCATGAATGATATATTTATTCATTATATGGATTTTATAATTGTTTACATTGATGATATCTTATTATTCTATGATAATATTGAACAACATTTTAAACATCTTAATATATTAAAGGATGTTATTTTACGGAATGGCTTAGTAATATCTAAACCAAAGATGCTTTTGTTTCAACATAATATAAGATTTCTTGGTCATCAAATAAGTCAAGGGAAAATAACCCCTATTCAACGATCAATTGAATTTTCTTCTAAATTTCCTGATGTTTTCACTGAGAAAATTCAACTCCAGAGATTTCTAGGGAGTTTAAATTATATTTCACCATACTATAAGAATTTACAGAAAGATTTAGCAATTTTATATGATTTGCTTAAAAAATCAATTAAATTTGATTGGACAGAAAAGCATACTCATTAGTTAAGCAAATAAAAGAAAAAGTAAAAACTCTACCATGTTTAACATTAGCAAATCCAAATTGGAAAAAGATAATAGAAACAGATGCTAGTAGCATAGGATTCGGTGGAATCTTGAAACAGATTAACCCTCATGATAATAATGAATATCTTATTAGATATCATTCTGGTAAATGGACAGAACCTCAAAAGAAATATGCAACGGTTGCACAAGAATTTCTTGCTATTGTAAAATGTGTATTAAAATTCCAAGATGATTTATTTAATCAGTCATTTATTATTCATACTGATGCACTTGCTGTTAAACACATGATTTATAAAGATTATAAGCATGATTCTTCAAAGCAAATATATGCTCGATGGCAGGCTAATTTAGCCCCTTTTGATTTTGAAATTTTATATAAAAAGGGTAGTGATAATTCTTTACCTGATTTTTTATCACGTGAATATTTGCAGGATGGAGTGGCCACAAATTGATTATCTTAAACCACTATCCGTAATACATATTGCTTATAATAAGATTGTTGCTGAATATAAACATTGTAGAACGGAATATATTTTTGCGAAGCATAGACTAAATCACTTTTTAGGAGTTCGTAATACAATTCTTGATTGTGCTGATGAATTTACATCACCACAACAGATAATATCTGTTTCAAAAGACCTTGAATTTGTCTATGACATGATAGAAGACTTCACTGAAAGATTAACTGAAAGTGAAGAAAGGTTGAATTATTGTAAAGCAAAATTATCATTAATAATTCTCTAATTTTACAGGATTATGTATCCGCCCGATAGAGGACGCGGCCCTAATAGAGGTCGTGGAGGAAGAACAATAAACCCTGTAATACAACATGGGAATAAAAAGCTAATAGCTGCTGATTTTTCAAAATCTCAGGAGGAATCCTCCTCATCGAATGCGAAATTGGTCCAAATAATGGATTTTATTCAGAATGATTCTGCATTATATAAGCAGATTATGGATCATATCCAAGAGCAATAAGGTGATACCTTTGCTGCTAAAGTAAGTGACACTGACCAGGATGATATCCGGTCATATGAAAAAGGATCCACAAAGGAGGTAATATTCCTTCTTGAAAACGCTGATATTCAGTGGAAAAATGACCCATGGGTAATATTCGAAGATATCTAGCGAAAGGGTAATGATACCGGTGAGTCATACAAACCCGAAATTATTATGAGAATATTCTCAAACAAACTCTGTGAAATAACACATTTTCGGTCTAATCGACTACAAATGAAGTTTATAACTTCTCAAAAATTATTATCAAAAAGATTTTATCTTCTGAGGAATGGGGAATTTCAACCCTTTCTGAAAGAGAAGTACGTAATACTCCTACTTCTCCTCCTTTGAAATTTACCTACTGGGATTATATTCAAAGTTTTTACAAAACTTTTTATTATGAAAACCCCAGAAAAAAACATACTTGGTTCATTAAGATATGCTCCCATGTATATTCTTCTCCCATACCCAATTGGTTTATTCAGTGGTGGGCATTATATGGCCCAACAACAAAAATTTTGCCAGATAATTTTTCAAAATTATATTATCAATGGTTAAAATCTTCCCCTATCATTGATAAACTTCAACACAGTCATATCTGTGCTCCAGGAAGAATCACTATGTTATACTTCTTTATTAAATTCTCGATTCGCTGGATTTATAAATGGGTCCCTGAGGTGGGATTCAATGAATTTCAAATTCCGTGTCTTTATAAGACATATTATACCAAATTTTGGGATAAATTAACAAAAATGAATCACAATACCAAAAGAATGGAAGGACATGACTTGCTGGACGAAATTGCCCAAAAAATCAAGGAATATACTCAAGACAAAGGACAGCTCAAAGCAAACCCAGATGAAGAAAGTCCGTTCAAACACATCACAAAACGAATTCAGCTTCAGCAAGGAGCAATTAATAAGGAAGAGATAATATCCGCCTATATGAAAGAAGTTAAAGCAGATCTCATGAGAAATTTAAAAAATCTCGACAATGATAATATTTCAGAAAAATCAGATGTTTCGATGAAGAGTATAACTTCCAATGAAGAAAATTCTTTTGCAATATTGGCCGGAGAATCTCAGTCACCAGAAAAAGATGACGATCACGATGAATTCATCAAAAATCTGTTACAGCAGATCCAAGAAACAGCTCAATCAACCAAAGGAAAAGAAAAAGAATGAAGTGACAAAAGTAGGAATCTACTTTTGAAATTGAAGTGACAAAAGTGGGAATCTACTTTTGAAATTTAATACAAGTGGACCCCACCATCAGTCAAATCTGAAGAAATACATGTCAAATAATGACAAGAATTAATAATTTTTTGTAAAATAGTATTTAGAAATGTCTATAAATAGCATGTAGAAGTTCATTTGGAGGGCATCATTCTCTCCAAGGATCATTCTCTCCAAGTATTCTCTCTTTTCTTCTTCCTTTCTCTCGAAATTCTCTCTCTCCCTTGTAAAGAAATCATTCAGTAAATATATCTTTCAAGTTTGAAGAATAGAAGAAGCTTTCAAAGGTAATTTTTTTTTTGTAATTTAAAGTTTGAAGTACTCAGACAATGTCTGAGTAAATCCTTTGTCTGAATCAAACATTTGGCTTTTGTTTACATAAATTATACATGGAAGTTCTATCTCCTTCTTCCCTTTTAATTAAAATACGATGATTTGAGATTGGTTCCGATTCCGAGTTCAGTCGGAGAACTCAACAATAAGTGCATTGGGCTGGAAAAGTACCCGTTATGATGAATTGTTTAAGGGGAAAAAGAGGCCACATGATGCACAATAAGTTGTGGATTCAGACGAGGCTGAGAGTCGGGTGAAACTTTTCCATGCATCTTGATTATTGATATTTTAATTAAGGATAGATAGAGATTTTGATCCTGTAGCTGGCTGACATGGCATAGCTCCTGGATGAATGGTATCAGCCAGGGTGGTGGTTTGGATTCCGGCCTGGTTTCCTTGCTCATCTGTTTGCCTGGTCTTACCGGCTAAGATAAGCACTGGCCAGGCCCCAGCCCCACGCCAAATTTGGAGGCCACATGATGCACAATAAGTTGTGGATTCCAGACAGGCTTGAGAGTCGGGTGAAACTTTTCCATGCATCTTGATTATTGATATTTTAATTAAGGATAGATAGAACTTCCATGTATAATTTATGTAAACAAAAGCCAAATGTTTGATAAATCATCCATGGGTACTTGTGCAGCTAAAAACATTGATGGTAAAGGAGATCGAGCAAATGACATAGAGAAACTCACTGAAATCATCACCGAATGGATCTTCACAATAGCAAACTATGTGATGTATGTGCTAAGAAACAAAATGGAGAGTAATTCTGAGAAAGCCAACTACAAGGTATGCACAAGGATGTTGGCGCCAATCAGCTGTATTGCATCATTCTTCAGTCTTTATCTCTGAATCAATTTCCATGTCATGGATTTCTTGCACTAAGAAAATGGGCTTGGTTTCTCCTGGTAATTTGAAGTCTGAACGCCTATTAAACAGAAATCCAAGATGTAAACTTCTCTGATTTGTAAGTCTAGAGTCAACTGATGCGTGGCCAGATAAGAATGACTACAGAGACACAAAGATGAAGTAACCAAACTGAGACCAGGTCGACTTCAGGGTTGGCAAAATGAGTACCACATTGCTACGCTTGGTGAATGAAATATGCTAAAACTAGCAGAATGTTACAAGCGTGAAACCAAACAAGATCTTCTGTACTAAATAGCATGAAGACTTGCCTTTTAGAACTTAAGAATGCCATGAATCCCATGTCAACGAGCAAGATAGAGATACTATAACAACATACATTAAGTTAAATCAGCAAGTTTTTTACTAGCTGTCAAGTTGACACCTTTATTTGCATTCATTTCGCAGAAATCAAATTACGGCTCCATGAAATGACCCATCAGCATCATTCTACATCAGTAATATAGAAAAAATGAATAAGTTTTCCTGACTAATGTCTCTCTTCCCATCTCCCTCCCTGCCCTCTCACTTCTACAGATTTTAAAAAGCCATCTCATAATCTCGTGAGATCAAGGTTCATTCGTACCCCTGAATCTATATATTTGTGCAGTCAAAAGCATAGAAGTTGAGGCACGTATATGATATAGAGAAACTCCATAAAATTTGTCCAAGTGCTTCACTGTAGCTATCCATGTAGTTATATGCTAGCGAACAAATGAATTTCCTCAAGCTCTTACACTGCTGAAAATTTGTAAGGTGTGATAAGCGGACATGAATATGCAATATGATATACTAGTTTTTTGGCTTTCACCAGACAAATAATCTCCCTTATTAAGACAATGCTCATTAATCATAGAAGAAAAGGTCCAATATAAAGTATCAAACTCAAAAAGCAACTAAGGATGAGTAAAGACAGTACAAACGTGAATTGTCAGGAGAAAATAAGAGGCAAATAAAAGCTTACTCTGAATTGACGTTTAATATCTCAAACCAATCTCCCTGGACAACATCCTTGAGGCAGATAAAACTAGGAATGTAGGTAACTGCCGCAAATTTTGCTTTGGCAAGTTGAATTCTGAAATACTTGCACAATCCAAATTCGAGCCTGGAATAAAAGAAGACGCTATCATCACCACCCAAATGAATGGTCTTAAATTCTTTCCAAGCAGTAAGTTCACCATTTGTCTCCAAAATCCAAACCCGGACTTCATCACTACTGATACTGGTACGACATAAACTTAATCTACCCACTAGCATTCCCAAGGCCACCTTATACCATCCAGCAGGCCACATGTCAGCATATGGAGGTGGCTCAATAGCTCTAAATTTCGCTTCGTCAAAGTCAAATGAATATATCATCCTTGATTCATCGCAAGCCCAGTAAACAGATCCACTTAAATAAATCATAAATTTCAGTTTTTTACCAGAGTATGGAGCATGACCAATGCATCTCCATGAACTTGTGCCAAGTACGTGTACCTCAGCCATCTGGCTAGAAAAGATTTCTTTACCTGTAATCGGGCAACAACAGAGTTCCCGTTTTCCTGTTAACATTCTAAGCACTGTATACTGGTTGCTCTTGTTACTGATCCCAAATCCACAAGTCATCATATCTTTGGAGCTCTCATCGAACTCATTTGTCTTTGGAAGATTTAAATACTCGCCAGTAACGGGATTACAAACTACAAGAGGGTTGTTATTTAAAGGATCTGACAGGCAAAGAAATCCATTGCATGAATTCACAATGTGAAACTTCTGCTCTTTTGCCGTCACTTTTACACACCGCCTTTTAAAACTTCCGTTACAGTTACTGCCGCGAGAACACAACTTATAATCATCAGCATCATTTTCTGGCAGCATTTCTATATTACGGAGGGGGATCTTCAACCTAGTATCTAACCTCAGATCAACTGCCTTTTCGCCAGCATAATTTATATTGATTTCAGATGGCTCAATCAGGTAAAGCATTCTCGAAACTCCCGAACCACCTAAGGTCCTAATCAAAGGACATGGCTCTGCCCTGGCAAAATGCATCTTTGCAAAATTTGGGTCTGAAATGACACGGTGCCAAGGTTTACAAACACACTTGCACATGATGATAGACTTAATGGGAAACCTTAACAAAATATCGATAAGAACAGAATCAGTTATATCCAAAATAGAAGTACCCGTCTGCTCAATCTTCTTCTCTGCTTGTATGATCTGCTTCTTTGTCCTTCGTGGCCTAAACCCCCTTTTTCTCAGCATGACTTGCAACAATCTGCACCCCTAAAGCCCCAAACTAACAGTAATGCCTGGGAAAAATTGCAAACATTACTGAAAATCATGAGTTGGAAAACCCTTTTGGAATAGTATCTCAAGAAAATCTAATTCTGTCGGCAAAACTAATTGCTATCCTACACAATCAGCATAACGTTGGACAAGAATGCGCCCAAAACAGAAACGCTGAAAGTTAATCATCACATACCAAACGAAATCACGAAATTAACAAAACGGAAAGAGAAACATGTTTAATTACAGTTTTACAAAAAAGGTTCTTCTGGCTCAGTTTGTTGAAAATGTGACAATAAGGGGTTCAAGGTGTGGTCAGTAAAAATCAAGAACACCAACTCAGAAAAGGAGAATGTATGGACGTAAGTGAAATATTTAACAGCTAATGAATCGTTCTTTTACCTGAATATTCGACGGATTTTGTCTCTCGGGCAGAAAAGGGAGAATCTTGATCAGAAGAAACCTATTGACTTCTTTGTTCTAAAGCCTGCAAAGCAGCTTCTCCTGAGTGTGTGAATGTGAGTTTTTGTTTTACTCTTTTTGGGTTTTTTTTTAAAAAAAAATCTTTCAGCCATCTTTTTATTTAGAAAGAAAAAAAAAATGTATCTAGACTTACAGTTTCTAACACAATGAGAACACGTTAGGGTTGGCAATTTTCAAGTTCAAGTAAGACATGAATCGGCGTTTGGTTTAGGGTTTACGGTTTAGGATTGAATCTACATGCTTGCTACTATTGTTCTTATTTCCTACAATGTTGTTATGGAGAGGCAAAGGGCCACGATTTGATGTTGCCTCATGCCACTAAATTCCATGCTTAATGGCACACTTCTGATCAATCAATTATATTCGTAACGAAACTAGCAATAATTCACAGAACAAATGGACTATTAAAATGAGATCAAGGGAGTATATTGTCATAAAATGAAGGTTTAGACACAACCCGTTTAAGCATAGCATTCTAGGAAGTAGGGTTCAAATGGAGGAACTAGAAATTTAACAGACTAGCCATTCATATAAATCGCCGGATGTTTATGGACTTGCTAATCCTCCACATAAAAGAAACAGAACAGAGTTTCCTGATGATAAAGTAGGAAAAGAAGAGAGAAATTTCTGGATTCCAAACTCCGTTGTTTATTTATTATGATGCAAAAGAAAATTGAAGCTATGATGTAATGTCTTCATAAGGTTGGTTGGTGCCCCCATAAGCTGCAGTACATCAGTCTTCATTGACAAAGGCAAAGCAACTGGAACTTGAGCAATCTGTGTCTATTCCCACATCTGGCATTCTTCCTTCAAGAAAATAGCTTTGGTTTCTCCCGGCATTTTAAATTCTGAGCACCTGTGGCACATGTCAAAACCATGCATTGAAAACAGAAATATCAGTTGCATTCTTCTCTGGATAGTGAAAAGCCACATATTAAAAAGAACTGATGAATGGCCAGTTAAAGGTGGCCAATAAAATGTAACCAGGCAGAATGTTAGAATCATGAGACTTTGTAGCTATAAAAGATAGGTTAGTTGTAAGGTGGGTGGGTTCATGGAGTTTATTCGAAACGAAAAACTATATTTCAGGAAGAGTTGATTCCGGTGGAATGAGTGGCTAGGCTGATCAAACAAAAGACGAGTTGGAGATTCCAGAAATATTGCCATAAACTAGAGCAAAGTGAAGAGGAGTGTTTCCGGAAGATAGTCATTCAAGTGTAATCAGAGGTCAGAATTTGCGGAATTTTATTAGAGAACCAATTGAGTACTTTTAACCTAAGGAAGAAGTTGGATTACTTGCACTACAGGGTTGATATCAGGAGTGCGAAAAATTGCTAGTAGAATTCAGGGTTGATAAACGGAGTGCGAAAAATTGCTTGTAGAATGTTACTAGAGCAGCAAGAGAATTAGGATTTTGTTCCTACATTATTCATACTGAAAATTGAAAACAGTTAACATTGCTCCAAAAAAAAAATAACAGTTAATAAGTTGCCAGTAAAGAAGGCTAGTTAATATTAGTCAATGCAGTTGAAACCAAGTTAATTTACATTGACAGATTGAAATTCATACCTGAATTGTGCTTCACAAGAGCTATCTATGTTAAATTCTTCCTCGGTACAGACAAAAGGGTTTCGACATAAAGCATGAACAAGAACTCATAAAGCAATAAAGGAATAATAAAGACAGTGAAAGTAATCGTCATAATCTGGGATGGAGAAAGATACCTTGAATTGGTGTTTAATATCTCAACACAGTCTCCTTTGATAACATCCTTGAGCAAGATAAAACTAGGGATGTGGGCAACAGCTTCATATTTCGCCTTGGTCACATGAATTCTGAAATACTTCAACTTGTCTCGTTCAGAGGAAGCATAAATGAAGGCACTTTTAGGTGACTGAAACATTAGAAGCCCCTTCTTAGCTTTGCAAAAACTAACAGGCAAGTATGAACCTAGAGGCCACCTATCAACAATGTCCAAGTTAACTGTCTTAAAACATTTCCAAGTGCATTCACCAGTTGCCTCCAAAGTCCAAATTTGGATCTCTTTCATGTCAATTAAGCCAGTGCACAAACTTAATCTACCTCCGAGCATTCCCAAGGTCATCAAAGATTGATCTAGCCGGCGCATGTCTGTAACTGGAGGTGGTTTAATCCCTCTGAATTTCTCTTCATTGAAATCAAATGAATGTATCAAATCAACTTTCTTCGCGTACTTATTAAGCCAATAAATAGATCCACCAACACATGTCAGAAAAGTCAGTTTATACCCACCTCCACAATATGGAGCATGACCAATCCTTCTCCAAGTACTTGTGCCAAGTGTGAGTACCTCAGCTACCTTAAAAAGCCAAGCATCTTTTCCTGTTATTGGACAAGGAGCGATTACTGATTCTCCGAAAGATATTTTAAAAATTTTGAATTGGTTGGTCCTCTCACTGTACCCAAGTCCGCAACACACATGATTGGGCCTCTCATTGCTTTCATATGTCCTTGGAATGTTCAAATACTCACCAGTAACTGGATTACAAACTAGAAGAGGGTTGTTATGTAAAGGATGCGACAGACACAGAAATCCATTGCACGAGTTCACAATATGAAACTTGTGCTCTTTTGCTATCACCTTTACACAACGTCTTTTGAAGCCGCGCTCAGGCTTGGGATCAAGCGGCACCATTTCAACATTGCGAAGGGGGATCTTCAACCTAGTATCTAACTTCAAATTAACTCCATCTTCATATTCTGGATACGAATAATTTTCATCACCGTAGCAGCTTACATTAATTTCGGATGGCTCAATCAGGTAAAGCATTCTCGAAACTTTGGAACCACCCGAGGCCCTAATCAAGGGACAAGACTCCGCCCTGGAGAAATGCATCTCTGCAAAATGTGGGTCTGAAATGACACGGCGCCAAGGTTTACAAACACACTTACACATGATGATAGCCTTAACAGCTAGCCTTAGCAGAATATCAATAAGGATGGCCTCAGGTATTTCAAGAATGGAAGTTCCCATTTCCTCCATCTTTTCATCTTTGCGAATCTTCCTTTCCATGGCTCTAGATTGCTTAGCTTTCCTTTTCCTTTCCATGACTTACCAACTGTGACTCAGGCCAAAAGTAAAAAAAATTCAGAAGAATGCAGAAGAACACAATTTCCAACAACATTCAATATGATGCTATCATTTCACCAAAATGAACTTTTTAACTAAAAGCAATAATCATCATTTCCACAACAAACAAGCAACAAATCTAAAATAGTGAGACTAGTTCCATTAAATTCAGCCCTTTTATACTTTCTTCCCCTTGTGTGGCATTCGAGCCATCCAGAAATTAAAAAAAAAAATGTTGGTACTAAAACCACTGATTACTAAAACAGTGAAAAAATAAAGCAGAAATAAATTATAGTCATCCCCTTGTTTGGTACTAATAAACTGTTTATTTGCCTAATATAAATCATCATCAAACTGGACAAGAATCTCAACAACCACCATCATGTTATAAAATCAAAATCACAAGATAACAAAAGACGATACACAAAAAAAAAAAAAATAGAGTCAAAATGCATGTGATGTCATGGTGTGACAAATGGGTAAAATCAATGTAAAATCAATGTAAAAATAGCAATGTAAAATCAATTTTTTTATTAAGAAAAAATAGCAAGAGAAGGGAATGAAGGAAACGCAGGAGTTTTTACGTGGATTTGCGGCAGATACGTCCCGGGGAAAGAGGGGCGTTGATCCGAGGAGCGTACAGAATAATGTTGAAAATGTTTTTTGACTTGAACCCGCAGCGTACCGTGTTTTTTCTGTGTTTTTTTGCGTATCTTTTTTACGGGGCGATTAATTAATTATATTAATGGCAGGAATAATTTTTTTTTTAGTTGGTAGGTAAAAACATCAGACAAATGGCGGCTACAAATAACTCTCTTTTTCTTTTTTTTCCCGCTCTTTAATTCGTGGAAATTCGGTTTTACCACCTACTAAAACCTCAGTCCATTACTACATATATTATTTTTATTACTATTATATATTTTATCTTTCTTAAAATTATTGTACAGATTGGATTTTCACATTTGATACAACTTGAATTAAACACAATAATTATGAAATAGAGGGAGTATCAAGCTTATAGATAATGTTGGTGCAGCAAAATAGAATCTTATTTACATGATTTTTTTTTTTTGCACAATATTTTGAATTTCCATCATAAAATAAACACAAAATTCCCAAAATTTTCTATTCAATGCATATTCTTCACGTCTAATGGTGTTACCCATTCAAAAAAAACGTCTAATGGTGTTCTTAATCGATTGTAAACCCCAAAAAACAACTCTGAATCACATCATCCGTATTAATCTTAGACATGATGCCAATGACTTAGTCTTGTTTAGTTTTTTTTTTCTTTTTTTTTTAACAATAAAAAAGGCAAAAGTTTTTAACATAACTCAAACTATAGCTTGACATGGGATGCAGGTGTCTGACAGGTGATAGCAGATGTCGATAGCCCGAGTATTTTACTTAATGAAGAGGATTTAGGATTCATGGTATTCGTGATCTTCTCAAACGAAATTCGATTAAGACTGGAACATGTGTTTTGAAAGTTAACTTTGTAGATGATCATTTAGCTAATTCGTCGGTGGGAACTTTGCAATGCCTGAAACAGATGTGATTGGTGTGTCTTATACATGCAGCATTATAAACTTCTAGGTCTTAGGACTCATCATCTTTCATTGTAAAAAAAAAAAAATAGAACTCAAACTACACACATTACGTGGATGAGAAACACTTATAACATCGTGTTTTAGCCATACGAGTACACCAGTTGGTGGACTATTTAAATGCGGACATTCTCCTAGATCAGTTGCTACGAACGAAACCAAGTAATCAACTGCATAGTTTTCCTCGCAAACACCATGCTTTAATTCGACTCTCTCTGCTAAACAATTTCCTAATCACTAATATTAACTCTTGGTCTTATTTGCTTTTATCGCAAGTTTGTGCCTTTGAATTTAATGGACTTCAATTGTCACTTGTGACTAGTAGTCCTATGATACGTTAAAGCATCCATATTGATTTTCTTCCCACACTGATTGTGATTGGAGTTACCGCCATACCGGCAACCGCGCCTAAACTGGTGCATTCCCGGTGAAACCGCCTTTGATGTGGAAGCGTGTGTGACTCACAGGCATTCCACAGAGGAGAAGAACGTTTAAAACTGGGCGAGAACCACTAAGGAGGGATGGTGGGACCCAATATCTAGCTCAGCCAATGGTTGTCTTTCACGCCCCACACACATCTATCCCATCGATATCCTCAGAATCTATTGCTAAATAAAATAAAATAAAAAAATCATCATATGCTACGTCGTAAAATATGGATTTTAAATATACTCCAACAATTAAAAAATAAAAAAAAAGGGAGCAGATTCATTTTTTGTTGGAACAGAGCTCAACCACCAGTTCAGTTATAGTTTCTACAAGATCATCTTCCTGAAGCATCGGCCTCGTCCTCGTCGTCATCGATTTCAGGTGCCATTTCCGTTTCATTTCTTGCGTAATTGTTTGTGTGTGTCTGTGTGTCCAGTCGACCGGAAAAAAAAAACCGCTTTGGAGGTGTTTCCGGCCAGGGAATCATAAAATCATTTCGAATTTGAATCTTAAAATCATTTGTGAACTTCTTTAATTTCAGGACTCGGTTATTGCTGTTATGTTCTTCTGAATTCAGACCCTTTTTTTTTAAAAAAAAGGCCACACTAATCATGGCTATTGCCGCTGTTATTGGTCTTAGTGCCGGTAAAAGACTCCTCAGTTCCACTTCTTTTTATTCCGACCTCCCTGATAAGCTATCCTCCTCCGCCACCACCGCCTCCGCCTCCGCCGGCGGCGGCGGCGATCATCTTCTTCCCCATCCAACTCCTTCTAAGAACCTAATTATTGCTGCTGCTCCTAAGAAGTCATCATCATCATCCCAAAGCTTTCTCTCTCGCCACCGCCGTGATATCCAATCTCCCAATGCTCTCAAACAATGCCTCTTCGAAACTGTCGCCTCTGATCCCTCCACTCAACGGCCCTCCATCCATGAAGAAGATGATGATTCTCCGGTGGAAGCTCTTCTGCTTTTACAGAAGTCTATGCTTGAGAAACAGTGGAATCTTTCAGCTCGGATTGCCAGAGGGACTGATGTTTCCAAGCAGCAGCTTCAGGTTACTTCCTCTGGTGTGTCTGCTCGGCGACGGAGAATGGACCGCCGGAAGCCAATTCACAGTAGAAAGGCTTCCCTAAGGCAGCATACTATGAGCAGGGAATTAAGACACGTGATTAGTCCAGAGCTTCATCAGAATCGCTTCAATGGTTATGTGAAAGGCGTTGTCAGTGAAGAGCTTCTCACCCATAATCAAGTGGTATTGCTTTCAAAAACTATTAAAGAAGGTCTCAACTTAGAAGAGCACAAGGCAAGGTACTAACTAGCATTCGCATTTCGGGTGCTTTTTAACACTGTTGCCAGAAGCCTATCTCGGTTTTGCTATTTGGCTGTTTCAATTTCCACTGTAACATATGTTTCTGATCAAGTATGCGTGATGGTGATTTCTCAGACTGAAAAAAAGACTAGGTTGTGAGCCCTCAGACGAGCAGCTTGCCTCATCCTTGAAGACCAGTCGTGGAGAATTACAATCAAAATATATTGAGTGCTCGTTGGCTAGAGAAAAGCTGGCGATGAGTAATGTCCGGCTTGTGATGTCTATTGCACAGAAGTATGACAACATGGGTGCTGAAATGGGGGACCTTATTCAGGTGATTTGATTTGTTTTCGTTTCTTCCTGCCATTAACATTTCCTCAGAGGACAGTGGTAGTTCATTGAATTTAAAGTTTGTTGGTTCTAATGTAGGGTGGCCTTATTGGACTACTTCGAGGAATTGAGAAGTATGATGCTTCCAAGGGATTCAGAATTTCTACTTACGTCTATTGGTGGATTCGCCAGGTGAGCTTGATCATCAGTTTGTTGTCAAGTCTTTCGATGTCATTGGTTTTAATAATGCATCACTGCAAATGGCTGAATCTCTGGTCCTTTGGTTTTTTCTTCCTATTTCTGTTGATTAAATGCTTCTGCTAGCCCGTGAGTTCTGATAGTCTTGCCCTCTTCTTCCAGGGTGTATCAAGAGCTTTAGTTGACAGCTCAAAAACATTGAGATTGCCCCCTTACCTTCATGAAAGATTAAGTTTGATCCGTAATGCTAAGGTCAGGCTGGAAGAGAAGGGAATAAATCCATCTACTGATGTAAGTATAATGGCATACTCTTATTGAAACTTGAGCAGCGACTCAAATTAAATTTGCTCATGGTGAAATACCATGAGTAGTTAAGTACATATTTTCTCATTCTGAATTCTCTCTTTCTTTTACGCATCAGAGAATTGCTGAATACCTGAATATGTCTCAAAAGAAAGTCAGAAATGCCACTGAGGTACTTCATCTTTCTTTTTTCAAGTTTTGATACCAGTCATTGCTTGTTCCCCTGCCACATTAACACTAGCTTTATGATCTCTTCTTGTAGGCAATCTGCAAAGTGATCTCACTTGACAGGGAACCATTTCCCTCATTGAATGGTCTACCTGGAGAGACAATGCATAGTGTAAGACTCGATTTTGACCTCATCATAGTGATGCTTTTATGTAGGAAGGTTTCTTTGATCTGATTTTCATCCAGTTATTTTACTCACAACACTTATTTTTCTGCACAGTATGTTGCAGATGATCAACCAGGGAATAACCCGTGGCATGGATTTGATGAATGGGCACTAAAGGTAATGCCATGAGCAATTTAACATGCAATAGTTAAGTCGAGATGTTTGCTTAGGTGATAAGTTATGGAAATAGTAAAGAGTACTAATTCCAAGATAACTCTGCCTTATAGGATGAAGTGAACAAGCTGATAAGTGCAACATTGAGCGAACGGGAAAGAGAGATCATTTGTCTCTACTATGGTTTGGACAATGAATGCCTAACATGGGAAGAGATTAGTAAACGGTAAGGACTATAATCTTTATTCACAACAGTGGAGCATGCTTTTCTGAAGAACTGGTTTTAATCAACCATTTGGACTGCCTTTATCCAACTCCTGCCAGTTACTGTTTCGTTTTTCTCCTCTGCATTGTATATGTCACTGAAAGGTTTATAATTGAAGTTTTGAGAGTTGGATTTAATAAAATTTTGGGTGCTATGATTTCAGGATAGGTTTGTCCAGGGAGAGAGTGAGGCAGGTCGGACTTGTGGCGCTTGAGAAGTTAAAACATGCTGCCAAGAAAAGAAGGCTAGAGGCGATGCTAGTGAGCCATTATTCTTGACCTCCTTTTTCTCAGTAGAGAACAACGAATTAGTGTATATAGATGATGTTACAGAAAAAATTTTTACTGGTCCAATGATAGGAAAGCCCTTTCTTTTTGTACAATTTAACAATTTAATACCAGAACTCCTGGTCCGGCGGATGTATTATTACTGCTTCCTAGGGATGAAAATGTACTCTTATGTAACATGATAAAGTATCAGTTGGTTTATAAGATAGAAAAAATGTCATCAGAAAAGGTACCAAAGATCGATTTCCTCCTGTGATTTCTTGATGGTGTTCGCGGCTTCTCGTTTCTAGATTCTCGTCGAATATTTAATGGTCTAGCGTCCCATTTTTTTTGGAGGACTGCAAAATCTTGACTAGTTCCTGACAAACTGAAAAGTTAGAGGAAACAAACTGTGTTTATAATTCATGTACTGTTACTGGTAAGACTAACACTCGGATCTAGATATAGGAGTGCAGCACAGCCTTCTCTCTGATGATGCGATAGGAACAATACAGATGGAGAAATCTTAAGACAACTAACTCCATTATTTCTAGAATTTACTAAAGGACATGGAAATGCATTGTTTGGTACAATCAACCGTTTTCTTCCACCAAGAAAATATCCTTGGTTTCTCCGGGCATTTTAAACTCTGGAACACCTATGTCAAAAGAAACCTTCAGACAACTCAAATCCGTTGTGTACTAAAATTTACATCCATATCTTTGTGCGTTGTTTTGTTGTAATATGTGAAACTAAAAAGAAACATCTACATTATTTCATGCCCAAATCGAAGGCCGCAAAGGATGAAATGACCTGAACTCAGTTTTTAGACAGAACAATCTACAGCTTAAGCTTTTAGATAGAACTTAGTTTATCTTGATGGAAGCCATTTGACCTGCTTAGGCCATTTCCTCTTACGAAGCCTAAAGCATTCTTGTTCAACAAACTTGTTAAACCATTTCGGTTTTCCAGTGGTAAAACTAAGGCATCAAAAACTCACTCCAACCAGTATCCCAGTTCCGTACCCAATCATACAGCTTCCCATGTAAACCCATTGATGAAACCTTTGTTTTCTTTTTCATTTGGTGCTGAAGTTGCGATTCTTGTTGTTAGTACTGGAAGAGGGCCACAGGTTCTTGACAATCGAAATCCATAAAGGCCATCGTTTCCCAAGTATGAGGTATTTTCAAACGTATCAAAGTGATGACCTCGTGGAATACTACCCACTAGATGGTTCTCAGAAAGGTTTAAAACCTAAAGATATGCCAATTTTGCCAACTGTTGTGGAATTTCTCCTTAAAATTTATTTGAGGACAGGTCTAAGGATTTCAGAAAAATCAAGTTTGCTAAGGTTTGGGGAATTGGACCGCAAAACTTATTATGAGAAAGGTTTAGCCCCTGAAGTGAAATGAGATTTCCAATAACATCTGGAATGATTCCTACGAATTCGTTGCGGGAGAGATTTATGGTTGAGTAGATGGAAAGTATATGCACAATATCCATTTCCCTTCCTTTTGTTATAACCAAGACCGAACTTTCGTAGTAGCTATCTGATGAAACTTGGTTTTACACCGTCGGTTGGGTAGTGGAATCTTGGTTAGGGTTTCCTGCAAAAGAAGACCTTGGAGATCTCCCGAGGGTAGATACTCCGATACTTAAGTCAGAAAAGGGTTTAAAGAAGATATGTGAATAGTAGTTTGTGCTAGAGATAGCGTACTCATATTGTGTATGACCAACCCTATTTGTAGGCAATGAAATTACCTTGAGCGATGCTGAATCCTGCTAAGTTTCATGTTCTAGAACTGCCTTTATCAGGTCGACTGGACCATAGTTGGTTGATGGGCCGATCCAGTAATCCTCAGTGGATATGGACTCTCACGTGCCCCTGTCAAGTATTAGTTGCATGAAATAAAAAAGAATTGACACAAAATAAAACTGACCTGGAACCAGCCCAAACGAGGTGGACCAGACACGGTCTATATTGCACTGAGCAGGTCCGACAAAGCAGCCCGCGGGTCAGGATCCGATCCAAGGAGGCAACCCCCCCTTAAGATCCCCCGAAACTGCTAAACCGCGCGGCATCAGCGAGCACGTTTCCCAAGCGACGGTACTTTCATCATTACTGCTCCCTTGGAACTCGTCCAACCCGTCAAATCGTGGGCAGCAACAGTAGTAAATAAAACCTTTTGGGCTCATTGTTCTCCCTATTTCATTCTGCAAAGAGAACAACTCTCCCCCACTCTCAAAGGCTATTATGTGAAAATCTAAGTTCCCCACATTCGCCATTGTGCACCAGGTATCGCGGCCGGTAATATCTGTCTCCGTTGATTCGAGAAGAAGCCACGGTCAGAGGAGGTTTCTCAACTGTGTTATCAGCAAACCATCCAGTCACTCCCCCAGCTGACGCCTAGGAATCGCCGCCGCCGGTGACTATTGCAAATCTGGGAAGCTAAAACTCAAAAGCGGAGTGAAAACCTTTGCCGAAAGTGCCAAAAGTAAGTTCTCAGATCTACGACTCTCGATTCCATTTACTTCCTTATATTTTCCTGTGGTTGAATATAGGCTGGTACAAATCTAGGTTGAACCATGGCTAGGAATCCGGATTTGAAAACTGTAGATGATTTTGCCTCCACCATAAATTCCGATGAGAAGGTCGGATTGGTGAGAACAAAATATAACCTGCCACAGGATTTAGAAATAAGAGCTCCCCTAGGAACTGAGAAAGCCAATACTCCCCCAGAAGGAAAAATCACCATTTACGAACGCTTCATGTTTCTAGGGTTGAGATTCCCCCTTTTTCCTTTGTTCGAGGAGATTGTGCACTATTACAAAATTCCACTAGCTCGATTCACCCCTAACCTCATAACGTACGTCCTCGGTTTTGTAAAAAAATGCCAACGAGCCAAGGTGAGACCCTGTCTTATGTTGTGGAGGTACTTTTTTAGAGTGTCGACACCGTCTACAGCTTTTTTGGATTGGTATATGGTGAAGAGAAACCTTGTGTCAGGCTCTCGAAAGATAGTAGAAGCCTGTAGTGGGTCTCCCATATGGAAACCCAATTTCCTATATGTAAAGGCCCCTGAAAAATACTGTGTGGCCTGGAATTATCGAGAATCCGAAGGTTTCGAGGCGGTAAAAGACGAGTGGACGAAGGAGGATGAGGAGAAGATCAAAGAATTTGTCAGTGACTTAGAGAAACTCGAGAGATATCCCAAGATACTAGGGTATAGAGCGGTGCAGCATTTCGTTCCTGTCATGCCAGTCGAGGAATTAGAAGCTGACCAAAATCTTCGATGTCCCCCTCGAGGAAAATGAAGGTACTAATCTCGTTATTATTTCTGTGTGTTTAGGTCATGTCATCGGGAAATGCCGGTTCCAAATTATATGGTGATTCCAACCCCTTTAATGTTGTAAGCTCAGATGATGATACTTCCACAACGAAATCAGTGGCAAAGAAGATAAAGAAGAAGAAGAAGAGGGCTGTGGCAAGGGAGTCCGAGAAGGGGCCAACCGCGAAGAAGTCCAAAACTAACACTTCTTCCGTAAAGGAAATTGAAATAGCAAAGCAAGCCGAGGAGACTATTCCTTCTATAATCGAAAAGGAGGCACCTTTAGAGAAGGAGATCGGGCCAAGCACTCGACCCATTCTTGTCGAGAAGGGAAAAAGTCCTGTCGAGGGGAATGTAACCATCCTACCCCCTGAGATACCTGTCGGGGGCCCCGCTACCACAGTTCATACCTTTGACAATCCTCCTACCATCGAGTGCCCTGTGCTGGAGAGTTTGCTACCAACCTTACCGAGGAAGATGGATTAAAATTGGTAAACATCTCAATCCATACACGTTCATCGATCTCCATATTTTAACATTGAGTGTATATCTGTTCTGTGTTTGGTTTCCACAGATGAGCGCAGTAATGATGAACCATGCCAAGAGGTCCAAGGACCTAAGGCGAGAACTAGCAGAAGCTCAAGCTGAGAGACACCAAGCGGTGATCGAGAAGCAGGCTCTCGAGGAGAGGAATCAACAGCTGCAAGCCAAGGAAGTAGAGCTTGCCTCGGTACAAACTCAGCTTGGAGAACTGAAGCAGAAATTTCAGGAGTACTGCGTCCTGTATATCTCCAAGGAGGACCTTAATAAATGGTGCATTGCATTTTGGTGGAGGATGCTATCATCAGGGGGGATGACCGTTGCTGTGGAGGAGATTAATACTGCCTCGATGGCTTATGGGGGCCATGCAGCTGCCGTCAAGGACTTAAAAAGACTGAAGTCAAAAAAGCCTATCAAGGCTAAGTTGCTGAAGCAATTTTTGAAGGAAAACTCAAAGAAAACCATGTATGAAGCCTTGGTCCAGGGTCTTTGCAAACTATCCATAGATCAGCTATCCCCGTGGGAGCCCTTGTGTGAAGCTCTGTCCAAGATGGGTTCACCCGAGAACATTGCCTCATTTCCCGGGGATGTGGCTCATGTTTTCACTAGAGGTCCTGGTGAGGAATTGACAATACCTGAGGTCTCTGACGAGTATTTTGGAATCGATCTAGAGGAAGATGAAGATGAGACTGCTGAGGAGGATGACACAGGCGATTCGGGTGCCAAGGACCAAGATCCCCCAATCGTGGGAGATACTAGAGGAGCCGAGGAAGGGAACCCCCCTGTCGAGGAATCATCTGAAAATCAACCGGGGAACGACTCTCGTTCTCAGACTGCTATATGAATTCAATTTCCTTGTAATAGAGTCCTCCTTTATTTTGAGAAGTTATTGTATCACCGTTCATGGTGGTGAATGTGAACATTTTAAGTATCTGTTGGTATTTACATTATATCCAATCCTTTCTAACTTTATCCCATGTCTTATGCTAGGAATTATACTTTGTACACCAGGTACATCTGATGATCTTGGATGAAAATCAAGCTAAAAATTTTTCCATGTATGTTATGGTTTCTGCGGCGATGAGAAAGTTGGGCAATGTCCACAGAATTTTTGCTGTAAGAACCCTCGAGAAAGATATTGTGGACGCCATGCAAACATACAATGTGCAGATACATTCTCGGCTGGTACAACGGTTTAAACAAAAAGAAGAAAAATATCAACACCGTCTTCATCAATATGATCTCGACTATCAGGATTCCCTGATCCTGGAGGCAAATATAAATGAAGAAATGGCGAATTTAAGGAAGGGGAACGTCCAACTGAAGCGTCGTGAAAGAATCGTGATTTTCTCATGGTTTCTCGAGAAGTTCCACATCTTCTCACTTGTTGAGAAACAAATTCA